AATGACAGAGAGCTGTCTTTTATACCTGGAAATTAAACTCGATTGTTCCCATCTTTGCCGCTGGTGCTCCATCAACACGTCTCCTGTAACAGAGGCACAAGAAAACACTCACCGATCTCTGCCCGGTGACGCTGGATACGTTGACGATGTTTCCTTTGGTCTTGATGAGATGAGGCACCGCCAGCTGAGAGAGATAGAAAAGTGACCTGGAACAGTACAGAGAGATGAGGACATTTTTTTTTTCCACACATACCCTCACTTCCTCAATAGGTATAGAAATATAAGAAGAACATAATATTCTCAATCACCTCATCTAAGGAAATGACAACACCCCGAGATGCAGCATATTACACCCTTACAACAAAGAAAACTGTGACTGTGAAGTAAATGAGAACAACCACAACATTCTGGAACACAAAGGGTTAAAGCAGCAACCTCTGTGTGCATGTGACTGTTCGGGGTGCCATCTAGTGGTGAGATGAGGTAATAACAGAGAATGGGGTCAGTGCTTGGTTGGATACGTTGCCCATAAACTGCCGATTACAAACAGTTGTTGAACCAATGTGGATTCTGGTGAAAATTGTATGCAGGACATGAATATGGAAACTCTCTTGGTGGTCCTAACCCAGTGCTGTTAACCGAGTACAACATTCAAAACACATTAAAGTTATAGTGGAAAGTCCCTTTATGTGTTGTGGGGTGGGACTGTTTGGTGAAGTAGTCAGTCCTCACAAGGATGGTGTTTCAGTTATAGGTGGAATTTGGTGACTTCCATTGCCAACAGCATTCTAACATCTCTCAGTGGCTCCAGTGTCGGGAACTTCCTGGTAGAGTTTGTGACTTTCTGGCCATCATGGAGTGTTCTCACCCCAGCTGGGCTATCCAGACCAGGACACTCAGCTCCGGGATGGTGGGACCCCTCATAATGGGCACAGTGGGTGTACAGACCCAGGAACAAGTATCGGCATTGGTAGTCGAAAAGTATCGGTGCATCCCTAACTGTAAGTCGCACTAAATATCTTCCATGCATAAAGTACACAATGGGGAGAATTTATCAAAACTGGAGCAGACAAAATCTGGAGCAGTTGTGCATGGTAACCAATCAGCTTCTCTCTTCAGTTTGTGTTCAACCACCCTTAAATTATTTTTTCATTAAAAAAAAATGCAATCCTCATGTGTCAGGCTTCTCTCTTCTTTTACAAACTTACATGTACTGCACATCTATGTGTCTTCATGTAACAGTTATGTGAGCCTTCAAATAAACTTCAGAGTAATATATCCGGAGTAATATCTCTCACATATGCACACAGGCCAATAAATTATTCTTCCTGTGGACATATGGACTTATTATGTTCATATCATATTATGCATCATATTATTCCTTAAAGTAGAACTGAAGCCATTTTTTTTTCCGTTTTGGATAGAGAAAGGGAGGGTTTGCCATTTGTGTCCCAATATTGAGCTTTCCCTTCACTTCCTGTCCGATAGCTATGACAGGAAGTGAGAGGAAATCCTTCCAAAGAGAAGGAAATCCCTGGTGGTGAGTCAGAACTTGTGTCCCCATTGTAAGGTTTCCCATCTATACCAGTCCTGGTGACATCCCAAAATGTGGGATTTTTATTCACTTTCAGGGATATCAGTCACCAGGACAAATATAGAGGGTGAATCTAAGCAAGCACTGATATTTGCAATGCAAAGGTCCATTGAGACTGGAGGTTCCATTGTGAACACTCAGCAGGCTCAGCATTACTGAGCTCTCTGTCCGGCCACAGCACTTGTCACACAGGCTGCGCAGCGGCCAAGGGCTTTTGCTATGGGTTGGCACGGCCTGTCTATTGCCATATTACAATAATGATATCAGTTAGCATCCCCGGCCCCTTTGTTTACATTCAGCTGATTGCTTGGGAATCTCCCGGCTGGCAACTATATATGACCAGGGATGCCTCATTGGCATGGCAGGCTGGCAGCCCGGTGTCCTAACAGCCAATGAACTGTAGCGCTCACCCCCGAAGGAGCCGCTGAATATTGAAATAGGTTCTCCTACCTGTTGGTTCCAGCTGCCAGTCCCCTTTGATCAGCAACAGCACACCGACACTCACGGACAGAACGGCTCGAGTCTTAGGGTATTTATTTGCAACATCAATAGGAGAGAGAGGGTTTAGGATCTGTAGGATGCCATTTGGAAATACTTCTGAGGACAGCTTTCTCCCCTAGCAACCGCTAAGGCCGAAATCACTGCGATCTGGTCCCAGGGACCAATAGTAGTAGTAGTAGTAGTACTGTGAACAGATACCTGGAATAGGGTGTGGGATCTCCCTTGTGGGTCCCAGACGGACGCTCGCACCAGCTCCTCTGCGGTACCCCTCAACAAGCGGACTCCTCCCCGAATCAGCTTCCATCAGGTATTTTCCTCTTTAGGATCTGGAACTTCTGTGCCCTCAGCATCTGCAACTGCCAAGAAGCACTCCAGTTAAATGAGAGTATCTTCTTAGAACAAGGCACCCAACACCTGCCACGTGTATGGGCCCAGTGAGGTATTTTTCCGTAGCAACAGGATCTGGAATCTCTGTGCCCTCAGCATCTGCAACTGCCAAGGAGCACTCCAGTTTAGTAGTAGTATCTTCTTAGAACAAGGCACCCATCACCTGCCACGTGTATGGGCCCAGCAAAGTATCAGTGTATCCTAGGCCTCTAGGTCCCTCAGCACCTGCCATGTGCTGAGGCCCAGGCCAGTTTCCTGCATCACACACAGTCCTCCTAGGGCGAGGCCCCTAGGGGAAGAGAGCTCTCCACAATGTCCCCAGACCTTTTATCACCTGCCCTCAACCATGCCTCTGAGTCATCCTACTCAGGGATTGGCTAGGGCCAGGTGCATAGTCATAACCTGAGGGTGGATCCTCCCTCACTGTATGCCAAGGCTCCCTTTTCCTCAGCAACAGGAGGAGCAATCAATCCAGCAGACTCAGGGACACCTATAGAATGCAGAGCTCTGTATAATCAGTATCTAGACTGGTTACAGTCCAGGTATCTCTAAATTGAATAGTGACATTTTAGAGGGCGCTACAGAACCATGAGCGATAAGCTATCACATCCATGACAGCTTCCCAGCACATACATGCCCCATTCTGAGCACTGGTGTCTCTCTGTACACCAGGTCAGAGATGGTTTTAATTACCACCAGTTTCCTGATCTGTAAACTAGAAGTAATTCTTAGAATTAGGCAGGGCTGGATTTCCCACAAGGCCACAGAGGCCTGGCCTCTGGGCAGCAGGGAGTAGAGGGGCAGCACAGTCACCAGGCAGGTAGTTTTTTTTCTACATTCCGGGCAAGGAAGGCTAAATGTAGGAAGCCACCGCTCGGTTTGTACAAGTGATCCTGGCAATGCCACCAAGATCACATGTAATAAAGAGAACCTGTCACCTCCAAATGCTATCACACAGGGGTTTGTTAGCTTCTTTCTCCTGGTGGTGGTGGTGGGGGGCAGTTGGAGGGCGGTGCAGAGATCCTCCATGTATCTTCTTTTCCCCTGCTGCATAACTTTCTGGATGGCCGGTCTCACAGTCTCTGCAGTCTTCCTCCCAGCCTGGCAGCTGAGTGTTGCAATAGGACATGGCCTTCTAATCTCTGACACCATCAGCTTACACTTCCTCTCTAAACCTTGTTGTAGCCACTACACTGACGCATGCCTCAGCACTCACCATCACTTCTGTGCTTTCCCCCCCTGCGGTGGCATGTCCTTCCTTATTCAGCCCAATCAATGATAAACTGAATTTAAAAAAAAGTACCCTTTAATATAATTGTATTAATACTTCTTAATTGCTGTGAGAAGCCTTATCTGATTATTAACTGTTGCCGTCTTCTTCTTTACTTTTCTTATCAGTAAATGCAATAGAGAATTCTACTGTATGTATTTGTTGAGAAAACAGCTGCCTATTTAGAAGCGGCATACACTTTGGTATATAATATTCCATCCTATATGTGCTAGAGCAGTGGTTCTCAACCTGTGGGTCGGGACCCCTTCGGGGGTCGAATGACAATTTGCCAGGGGTCGCCGGGAGTCTCCCGCTATTAGATAGCGGCTCCCGGCCACCCGGGAGAGAAACACTTTCTCCCGGAAAGTGCTCGGCTTGGAATGCATAACTAGATTCCTATTGGCTATTTCACTTTGCAATAGCAAACTAGCTATTGCACCCGCCCACTGCTGCTGTCAATCAGCAGAGGGGAACCTGCAGTTCTCCATCTGTTCCCCATCTAGTGATTATCATCATTATTATTAATAATAATAAAAGCTGACACAGCAGTGGTTCTTAACCTGTGGGTCGCTGTGTGATTTCTGCTGTGCTAGGTGAGAGTCCTTCTCAGCCCTCTCCTAACGCAGCAGTGTCAGTTCTCCGCCACGCCGCCAGATGTCGCTGCAGCAGCCGCGTCAACCCCAAATTTTACCGTTGGGGGTCACCACAACTTGGCAAATGTTACCAAGGAGTCCCGGCCCTAGAAAGGTTGAGAACCACTGTGCTAGAGGCTCTGAGTACTGATATATAAAATCCTTAAGTCAATATTCACGTTTTTCATTATTGCCATGTACAGTACATAGAACTTTACATTAAATACAAATCTCGAATGATAACAAACAAGAAAAATACAAGAATAAAAAAAAAAAAACGTAAATTGCAAGAATATCTATTAAATATCATTAAATATCCATACATCATTTCTGTATACTTCTTTAAAAGGATTTTTTTTTTTGTAATAAAGTGTTAACTCTGCATGTTGGACAGCACTTTGGACTAGCAGAGGTCTCCAGGCTTGGACCCCCAAAGTCCAATTTATGTTTTTCAGTGCTTGTAAAGATGAGCTAAGTTAAACTGAGAGACATAAACAGATTTAAGCACTATAGCAAACGTGAAGCTGCTGGCTCACCTCTCTATACTGTACATATAAAAGTAATGATCAATTGACTACTGCAAGTAATCAAACTCTTCTTTTCATCTTTAAATCTCTATTGCAAAGTAATGATCAATTGACTACTGCTAGTAATCAAACTCTTCTTTTCATCTTTAAATCTCTATTGCAACATAATTATAATCTGGTTCAGCAAAACAAGCTTTCACCATCATTAGTGTTATAAATGAGCATGGTGAGATTTACAAACACTTGTATTCATTATTCTAACATGATTATAGTGCCTAACGAATATGCCTAGAAAATACCCATCTGGGTCCTTCGAATTGTTAATATTATCATAATACAGGATTTATATAGCAGCAAGAGCACTTTACAAAAGGAGACAATACAGTCACAATACAGTACCATACAAAAGAATTAGAATGGTTTAAAGTAGATCTGAGCCATTTAGTTTGCTAAAGCACTGTATATCAGTTGCCAGTGTGTGTGGGGTTTTTTTAGATAAAACACTGTCCATATTTTCATCATTTAAAAAAAATATACAGTATGTACTGCTGATGTCCTGCAGCCTATTTTAGTCACTTCCTCTCTCCGTGCATTAATTACAACATTAGCTATGCATCATTGGTGTAGACCTGCTTCCTGGTAATCTCCACCAGGCACCCACGTGACAGGGTGACAGCTCAGGAACACAATCCGGAGACAGTTGTCACCCTATAGCAGGAAGTACCTGAACAAGGACCCTCATGGCAGGATCATTAGGGTTTGTTTTTTCTTAATAAAAACAGCAAATTAAAAAAATTGAAAGCAATATTCCATAATTTCATACATACTTTAACGTGGTTTTTAAATGAAAATTTAGTTATTTGGTTTAGATATATTGAATTGACTTGAACTTAATTGAGGTATAGATCCTTTATCTTAAAGTGTATGCAACCCAAACAGAAAATCTTATTTGCTCATTTTGTTAATGTCAAATATGTCATTTAAAGCATTTTGTTGTATATGTTTAAGCGTAAAAAAAATCCCTGTTGATTTTGTCAGAAATTTTTAGCTGCCCTGTATCCTCTGCATCTTTCTTGTGTAATTTCAAAGAGCCTGCATTTGGACCTGCAAGGTGCTGATCACAGTTGCAATGCTTTGCAAGCTCAAATACAAAAAAATTTAAAACGCACATTTTTTCTTTTATTAATCTGTGTGCGTTTATTATTTTCTGTAGCAGCTGGACTATGCCTGTACTTACCACATAAAAGATCTACTGTTAACATGCAAAACTGCATCCATAAAAACTAGGGATGCACCGATACTAGTATCGGTATCGGTGCCGATGCAGAGTATTTGGGCGATTACTCATACTGGCCCAAATGTTCCGATGCCTAGCCCGATACTTCTGGTATCAGGAAGCCGGGCAGCGAGTCATGACAAGGGTATTGTCTACCTTTTTTTAAGGGGTCAATTAACGAAACAGCATAAGTCTTCTATACCATACCGTTCTAATGAATTGACACGACACTGATATTGGATTGTAGTGGCCACAAAAAACCCTTGTCATGTAGGCCTTCCACAGACGCCTCCGTCTGCTGTTCCAGGCCTGTCTTTACACGCTGACCGGCTTCCTGATTGACGGGGAAGTCGGCTCCATGTTCTCTCATCAGGAAGCCAGGTGGCGAGTCATTACACGGTGCATATATTGGTGCATCCCTAATAAAAACCCACACATATACAGAAATTAAGATAACTCACATGAATATGTCCTGCCTTGTGCTCCTTGCTAAATGAAGCTGCGAAATATCAAATATGTTTTTCTTTTATGGGGTCACTAGACAGGAGGTCAGCTATACTGGACCATTGTACTTCAATTTTTATGTATTTTACCAACCTGCTCATTTTGTGCTATGTCAGTAACAGATTTTAGAGTTTTTTTTTCTGGACAAGATTGCATTTGATGCTTCACCTTGCTCCTGACAAGGGACCGGCCATGACAGACAAGGAAGCTCTTATCTTGTCCCATGTGAGAACAAATTTCAGAAACTCCAAAGCGCAAGACAAGACTGCTAACAACCCCCTTCCACCATACAACCTTTTTTTTTAACAGGTAAGTATTTATTGGTTTTAACACATATAACAAGGCACTTACAATACAGAGAAAATGAAATAACATCTTTACAATACAGAATATCAGCAATTGGTACAAGAAAATACAATAATGAAAAAATAAAGAAAAAATACATATACACTGAACAGACACTACCACACTAAAGAAGGTGTGGATCGTTGGTCTCATGTGTTTGCAACATGGCCGATCCCACCAGTAGATCTGGCCCTGCTCGAGCACATCCTTGAGTCACTACTCAGGGGGTTCAGGCGGGAGTAAGGTCTCTCCGCCTGGACCCTCCAAGGTAAGTCCCCTGGCCGCCACCCAGTTCCACCATACAACCTTAATACCTTCCCGTCTTCAGTCTGCATATTAACATTCCTACAATATGAACGTCCTCTCCTTGAGAAGCTCTAGCCAAAAGCTGGTTGCTCTCAATTCCAATTACAGTCAGAGTGGATCCTGAACACTATGCAAGCTATGAGACCTTATTGAGAAAATTAGCCTTTAGCCTGCAAATTAACACTGCCACCCTGAGGCTTCAGTGTGAACTGCAGTGTCATCTGTTTAATGCTGTAATTGTCAGATCCAATGATTGGAAAAAAAAAAAAGTTGTTTTTTTTTTACACATTTGTTAGCCTTTAATAAGAAACATTTTTTTATTTAAAAATTTTTTTCAAAATAAAAGCCTTATATGCCCTTAAAATATATACCTTTTATGTATTAAATTATTAAATTAGTTATAGAGTTGAGGTCAAATTAATTGATTCATGATGATGCTACTAAACTTGGCTTGGACATCTAAACATAAAATTACCTCCCATAATGAAAGGGTTAATTTGTAAATACCCTTTCCTCATAAATTCTCCAGAAACTTTAGAATATTTGTACATGAATGTTACAAAAAAACCTTTTAGGACTGAATGCAGAAAAACAATCGGAACTTCGGCATTTTGCCCTGCTCTGAATGCTCAAGAGCTAAAAGAAGCAGTGTAATTCTTTTCCAATAGTTTTATTAAATATTAGTATCAACATACAGCAATGTAAATTTCAGCTTCTAATACAATACACAAAATATACACTAACTGGGTTAAATGTGCTCAGTGTTTGTTTTTTACATTCGTTATTAAACAAACTATTTCAATGTTGTTATCAGTGAGTGTACACTTGTTTTGAGGGATGAACACTACGCATCTCTTCTATTCAACATAAAACAAAAGAGAAAAGTAGGGAAAGAATAGAAAAATCCAAAAAAGTAAAATATTAAAGAATATCTAAACATATATAGTTACTCTACTGTGTCTATATGGGGGCCACGTTTGTCATCCAAGTCTGCTTATGTTTATCTCTGTGACATGTAGGTTGATGGGATTAGTAGACTACAAAAGATAAGGTTGTATTTGCTCTCTGCTCAGTGCACAGAAAGTGACAAGGGCACTGTACTTTTGGCTAAATAAACAGGTATTTTCTGTACATGCATGGTTTTCTTTTCCCTCTTGGCTAGGGAAGAAATCTAGAACATTATGTGGTAGGAATATATGGATGAGGTATCAGCCATATCAGAATAATATAATGCATGGAAGAGAAAGTTGAAGTATATCTAAAATTTTGGACCGAATAGGGAATGGTTCAAAACATTTCTCAAATTTGTACTTTACCGATGTCTCATTTGAGAGACTTCCCCTAATTTCCTACTCTGTAGACCTAACAGTGAATGAGGGGAAATTCCCCTGAATTATATGTTTCTCCATTCCTGTTCTGTTGACATCTTAAACTTTTGTATTTTCTAATCACTTTCAGTTCCAGCAACAAATGTTACAAAGACAAAAAGAGAGAGGTAATTTCCCAGTGTGGACACAGCAGAAAAAAACTGACCCTCAGAGCCGTCTCCAGGTTTATTTATGGTGGGAGTATCTGCTCTTATTGGTTTAGTTTTTAGGTTTCTTTAACTGATTGAGTCTGTAAGTTCTGTAACCAGGGATTCCATACTCTTAAAATAATCTGTTGGTCATACTCTGTCATAGACCCACACGGTTCAGAGCTCTGTGTCAGAGGGTTCGGTCCGTTCGTGACATCACGGTCGACTCCTCCCCCCGGCCGTAGCTACTCCTTAAAAGCACAGCTGAGCCACTCACTCGGCGTACTGTCGTTCTGGATCGTCGAGTGAGTGACTCTCTGTACTGAAACAGAGACTGTATTACGGCACGAAGTAATAGCCTTGTTCCATCGCTGCCTCCCACCATTACCAAACGAACCTGTCCTAGGTCCATCCTGAAGCCGTACCAACAACTCATCTTGAATAGTGATACCATCCACAGTTGTTCCCTGCTGTCTACAGAGAGTTCAATCAAACGCAAGTAAAGGGATAATTCCCAGCTGTTACTACTACTCACTAAGCTGGTTGTGCTGTAGTGGGATTCAGGAGGGAGCTACACAGATTCAAACCTCCTGTCTCCTTTCATACACTACTAAAATTGAGTTGATGAACTGTGCAAGGAAACAAGTTGGTTATAATATGACTGTTGCACCAATTACTTAGAACCGTATTGCTGGATTGATGTATTGTGAGAGGTGTTTCACAACTGCTGGTTGCTCTCACTTCCATAAACTGCATTGCTGATTCATAGAACTGTGTCTAGAGAGATATCCTGTTCCAATCTCCCAAATTCACATGTGGGTTCACTTCATCCTATTAGTATACATTTCTCAAACCATTGCAACTACAGACAAACAAATTATGTATCAAGTAACCAATTGTATTGCTTATACTCCTACCCCAAATCCAATCTAGCTGTAGGAAGATCCTACTCACCGGTTACATATGCAGATCTACTTCCAACTCTTTACTGCCACTTCCTCCAACCCAAACTACAGAGACTGATAGCTCAGATCCTGCTGCCTCCTATAGCATCAGGGTAATACATCTCCACCACATAGGAATAGGGGTATATGATGTGTAACGGTTCCCCTTGGTACTGAGTGCATTGGGGTTCCGCAAAACTGAGCCCAAACATTACACTTCACACACACTCCGCAGCTGAGATCCGCATTAGACATAACCATTGACTGTTACATACTCTAGAATTGGGGTTGACCGATTATCAGACCTACCGATAAAAATTTACATTTACATTTTTTAATTAATTGATGATGGGGTATCAATTCTTTAGCATGTTTTTGGATTCACTCAAGAGCAACGTGTGGAGTTTTTGGAAAACTTGTTTGAGTTACTGTATGGATTAGTGTAAAGATTCTGGTTCACTTGAAGGGTGTTGTAATCACATGGAAAGCATTTCCCTAGCTTCTCCCAAGCATATAAGCCATTGGATTTAATAGCTGATGAAGATTATGTAATTTTATATGTAGTGGTCCTGTGACCTTGTCACAGTAAAGAGCGATAGACATTGATGGCTCCATGCAGGACATCACTGCCAGGGGAATTTCAGCTGTTACATTAGTTTAACAGTAAAATAAATACCTTTTCAGTAACAGTTCAGCTTCATGGGTTTCCCAATTTCCAGTTTTAGTCTGATTCAGACATCTCTTGACACACATACTGCACTATTATCATTTTTCATACAAATTGACATAAACGTTTAGAAGGAGAAACAGAGTTACTGTACATGAAACGATAAACTTGAATTGCTAGTTTAAGAACCATCTTGAGATCCTCTAATATTTTTGCTAGACCATTGCAAAGAGAAAAAAAAAACCTGTAAAATCCAACTAAGACAAACGTTCATTTTTACTATTTCTTGCTAGAGAAGGAAATATTATTTTTATTGCTTATTGATTTTTTTCATTTGTATTTTTCCTAAAACAAGGTGCACTCAGCTTTTTATGCATATCTTCTGCCCCAATCCAGCTGTTGCTCACCCCAGTGTATAATTACTCCAGGATTTCTTATGTGGAATGCAGGGAACCAGTATGTGGTTTCTGGGGAAAGTCATATGTAGTCTGGAGCACTTTCTTTGAAATATGTAGATAACAATTAAAACATAATCCACAGCTCCAGCTTTCTTGTCAACATATTGGTCAACAAACTTGTAGGAGAACAGATTTTGGAACTTTGTGGATAAAGTGTTTGCTTATGCGTAATACAAATTACCAGTTTTCTGAAAAAACTTTCTTCATGAGTTCATTTAGGACAACAGAAAGAGCTGCACTTAGGAAAAATGTGTTTTTGCTTAGCGAGAGAATTTCGGAATTCAGTGGCTGCAAAGTAATAACATACCGTGTCCAGAACACAGTTAGCATTAGCGAAGATTGTGGCCACATGGATAAAGTCCTTTATTGATTGAAGAGTGTGGCAAGATGCGTGGCTGATTTCAGCGACATAACGTACTATGTATCCTGTGTGAAGTGGCAAGAAACAGACCACAAAAATCGCCAAATTAGAGGTAATAATGTGCATTGCTTTCCTGAAGGCATGCTGCTGTTCGGAGTCTAGTGGTACTTTGACACATAAATATTTCAGGACCTTTCCAGAACAAAAGCAGATAAATACCAACGGCAGAAAAAATCCAATCACTGCCAAAGCTAGGCTCATTTGATTGGGTTTTGTGTTCTCCTTGATGAAACAGGTGTCTGGGTTTTCTTTCTTGTTTAGGTACAGCACCCTCAGTATGGCAATAGCAATACAAACACTCCAAAAGAAACCACATGTAATACAGGCCTTCATGGGGGACATACAACCTTTGTACTTCAGTGGATTATTTATGGCCAAGTACCGATCAAAGGCAATGGCTGCGATTGTGAAAATGCTTATATAAGTGTTCACAAAGTAGAACATTGTTAGTGTTCTACACAACCCAGGACCAAGGTCCCACTTATATAAGAAACTATAGATTCTGAAAGGATGGCTTAATGCAATCAAGATATCAGCTACCATCAGGTTCACCAGAAACACGGTGGTTTCTGTCCACTTTGGCAGTTTGCAACAAAAAATCCAGAGGGCGACAATATTGAGGATGGTGCCAAAGAAAAAAAGAGGTATATAAGTCATAAGGCTAAATAACTTTAGAGATGAATCCATATTAATTTCTGTGTAAGAGCAATTCATCCTTACAAGACTCCAAATCCAAGCAAAAAAAATGCCCTTTGTGTTGGACACTTAACAAGACCCTTACTTTACTGTTATTTCCTCCAAATGTGCTGAACTGTGTTGTGCTTCCCAACAAACAACCAAAATGTGTCTGTTTTCTTGTAGTGTCAATTCTTTAGTCAAATTTCTTCTCACAAAGCGCTCCAATGTATCTGGAAAAAACACCAGAATGTATTGTTTTAGTGTGAAAATAAAATATTAGTGTAAAAATGATCATCAAAATACGCAGTAGCATTAAAAAAAAATCCAACTTAAAGAGAACCTGTGCCAAGATCATGCACATATTCTGCAGTAAACACGCACTAATATAAGCCTTCATTCATCTCTGTATCTATAATCATTATGAATAAATACATTTTCAGTTTACAGCATGGGCAGTGTGTTTTTTCTATGAAAGAGTCTGCCAGCCCTCTAAGGGTACACTCACACAGGCAGCCACTGGACAGTTGGAAGTATGCAGTTTGTATCACCGTGGCATTCCCCCAAAACAGAGTTAGTGGAGATCTGCATGGAAGTTTGCTTGTGTGGATGACAGCACAATTTAGTGTGTACCTTATTGGTTTTCTGTTGTGAGTAATTTGACCCGTAAGGGATTGACTTGGCTGCAAGTATATGCATGTATAAGGACATTTCTAAATATATATAAATGCACTTAATGACTTTTAATGATTTAATTCACTTTTCATTTAGATGCATTCAATGCGTTTACTTTAGCTGTGTTTAGAGAGATTAGAATTCTGTGCTTCTAGCATCCCATTACATACTGTAGTCTTAACACGTCTTCACACATGTGAATGCAAGTAAATGTGCATAAATAGATGCAAACGTGTGTAAATGCATGTCATTGCAAGTACATTTAAACACAGAATGACATGTGACAGGGAAGCTAAAATTATCTTGCATTTCAATAAACCACACAGCAAATTCCGGTGTTTATGTAGCCCAACAAAGTTTATTTTTTATTTATTAGTTTGTATTTCTATAGCACTTTTTCCCCAGGGAACTCAAAGTAGATGGTGAGGAAGCCATCTTGCGTTCCTTTACCCTAACCCTAACTGGATGACATTTAGAGGGTTATTCACTAAAGGTTGAAGAGTTTAGAGAAAGCAGGAGAAGGGAACAATATAAGACAACATAACTGAACTGAAAACTGAGCTGAATTGGAGAATATTTCCAAATCAGCTATGTTGTCCTAGATTGTTCACTTCTCCGGCCTTCTCCAAACTCTTCACCCTTTTGTGAATAACCTTGTTAGTTTACTAAAGCACTATATGACAAAAGCAATTGTCATGTGTTTTTTTAATGCAATTTTACCGGTTTATATATCTTTTTGTTGCATCTTAGTGCTGCTGTTCTCCTCCAGCCTCTTTTAGACTCTTCTTGCCTATATGCACTTGTTTAAAAGTGAGTGACAGTCACGGCTCTCTGCAGGGACATGATCGAGCAACGATATGTGTTCGCTCACTTCCCGATCTATTGAGCCGACGTGTGACAGTTTAATTGTCAGACATCGGCTCGAACTATGAGGCTGAGTGATTTTCACTCACGTCATAGTTCTCCTTTAAGAGTAGGCTGCACATCATTGATCAGGAGAGGTATCCTAATGGTGGTATTGGTAGACCACGCCTGTGCAGTGTGTATTCTCCACCAGGATGGGTCTGACAGGCACAGAATGCAGAAGCACTATAACAGTAAATGCCTGTAAAAAGGGAAAAAAGTCTTCTTGGTGGGATCACCATGTATTATTTAAGTGTTTTTTTGTGAGATGAAGAGAATAATGTAACCATGTCATTAACTGGTTAATGCACACTTTTCAATAAAGTATAAATCTACCCAATATTGGTTTGTTATGAGCACAAGCTGGTGGGTTGGGACACCTATTGGCTTTTTATATTATTCTATAACTATAGCAGAGGTGTTCCCAGTTCCATATACTATGTAGTCTTTTTCGCAATGCTGATTTCTCCCCAGTGTTAAATAATAAAAGCTGGAGCAAGAAGATTGGTCCCTTGTGTGCCCCTGTGCCTTTAACCCCTTCGTGACTGATGACATACAGTGTACGTCGCCAGCATCGGGGCTGTTTAAACAGACTTTTGCCTTGTAAGCCC